GTGTTTTTTCAAGAGTTTCTCCATCTCCTGGATCCCGGTGTTCTCTGAGACCCCCTCCGGCCACCCCACCCACGAACGCGACGCGGCGGGACGCATGGTCGAGACGGTTCACGGTGTTCAAAAGCTCTTTGAAAGCCGGGGTTGAAGAGGAAGGAGGCGAGGCTGAAGGAGGATTGTCGTCGAGGTTGGCCACGCGGACGTCAAGCTCGTGGACGAGATACTGGATGGGGTCCATGGCCTCCGACACAGACGTCTCGATCTCCTTCTCTGAGGGCGATGGTGAGCTTCTCCAGATCGCTCTCCAAGGCCATCTTGCCCATCGTGTCCGACACCGTGCCGAGGGCCTGCAGGATAGCCACGTTGCCCTCGTCGTTGCTCGAAGCTGCCCCCGGGGAGCTGGATGTAGCCGCTACCTTTTCGGCCCCCGAGGGTCGCGGGGCGCGCCCTGGGCGCTGCAGGAGGCGCCCTGATCATCGGATGCTGGAGTTTTCCAGTCGCGACCTACGAAAACGGTCGCTACCGATGTTGCTTAAAATTCGCTATCGTTCGTGACTGATTTGCTTCGAAACGGGTCGCGATCGGTGGCGACGGGTCGCTGCCGATTTTGGGATTGTTCGCGATCGGTCGCGACCGATTTGGAGTGCCGATCGGTCGCTACCGATCGCTACCGATCTGGGCGGCGCTGGGGTGGCACGACGCCCCAGTGCTACCCCGAGGAGCCCGCTGGGGCCGGCCAGGTGGAGGGGAGGATGCGTGAGGCCCCCGGAGACCAGGATATACACGAACCAGAACCAGGGGCCCTCAAACGGGGTGGTGACCGTACCTTGTGGTGAATCGGTAGGGATTCGGGGTCACCGCACGGTTTTGGGACTCAGGTCGTTCTCCGAGGACGTCTCGGGCGACTATGGCATCCGAGGTCCCAAAACCGTGCGTTGACGGACCGTGCGGTGAGGTCTTGGGGGATTTTGAGGTCACAACACGGTCTGTCGCTGCACCGTTTCGGGAATCCAAACAGAACAGTGGCAATTCGGGGAAAGGACACCCTTTCCTGCAAGGTCCGATGTGGTCGTCCAGCACAGTTTGTTTCTTTGCTGCACTGCCGGGTCCGGTTCCTTGTCCGAGTCTATGGGGGGGTGCGCAGGCTTTTAAGGCCCGTGTCTCTGGGTCTATTCAGGGAGTGTTGCAGTACAGCGTTTCCTCGTGCCGCATTCTCGAACACATTGTCTCGACGGATTGTGTATGTCCTGGTCTAGCGTGTCCGGTTTTACGAGGCTCTGAACGCTGAGGGGCGCGGGTCAGACCTGGACCTTCTGCGCCCAGAAGCGGTGACGAGTGCGCAGGCTTTTAGGGCCTGTGTCTTTTTTTTTTCCGAGTGGTGCAGTGCAGGAAATTGTTTTGTGAATTCCACCAATTTGTTGGATTGAATTCTGAAGTATTGGTATTTGAATTCGGAAAACAGTTTTGAGTTCTGGTTTCTGAACTAAAAAATGGTTCTTGAATTCAAGAGTTTGGTTTTTGAACACCACTTCCGAGCGCAGTATATGACTACCACCACCAAGATCGAGAATAATCTACGATGCGATTTGGTGCAGTTTTGCTCTGGTTAAAAAAGCCCGCAGTCCCCCTCCCGCCGCCAACGGCAACCAGGCTGCCCCTCTCTCTTAAGGGCCCGAAGCAGAATTCATCAAAGCACGCGCGGTGGTGGTGTATAAAATTTTGGTTACCAAGAGGAGCGATTCTTATACACCACCACCAAGCAGCGCTGTTTCTGCTTCAGGAGCTCCCCATGCCTCGGCGCCTGCGAGCTGCGCCGCGCTCCTTTTCGCCGTGGCGTCGCAGCGTCGTCTGGCATGACCCTGCCCCTAGCCATTTTTTGTGGTACATTGCTGTTGCGGGCGGTGGTGGTGTATAACAATTGGCCTTGCAACATGTTTTAAGTTCAATTGGCTTCGTAACATGCTTTAAATTAGCAACAGAATTCTTGAATTCAATTCTTGAATTCAAAACCCATTTTCTCGTGCCGCATTCTGGAAACAAATGTTTCGAGGGATGCCGTCTGCCCCGGTCCGGCGTGTCCGGGGGCCGCGCGGGCCCCGGCTGGCGCCTGGGCGCGCGCGCGCCCGCCCTCCCTGCCTCCCCTCCCCCGTCCCCCCCCCCCCCCGCGCCCTCCCGCCGTGTCGCGTCGTCCCTGCATCTGTCGCTTTCTCCTTCCTCTGCCACCTGGGCTCCTCCTCAGGAGGGGAAGGAACACACAGGCACAATCCACCGTCGATCCCCAGGAAGATATATGGGAAACTCTCGGGAGTGGTGTGGGGGGGGGGAAGACAAGAGCCCAGAAGAGATGGGAAAGTCTGGGGCATCCTGTTACTCGTGTCTATATTTATTTGTGTGTCCCAGGGCCCCTTTTCATCCTCTTGTGATGGCACAGGAAGTGCCCCGATCTTAGCGAGGCCCTCACAGTGCGGCGGGGGCGCGGGTCAGACCTGGGCCTCCCGCGCCCGGGGAGCGGTCGTGGCGGCGGGGTCCCGCGCTTTTGTGCTGCAGCGCGCGCGCGCGCGGGGGGGTGCGTTTGCGTCGTGCCCCGGGGGCTGCCGGAGCCCCCGGGGGGGGAGGGGGGGAAACGACGGGCGGCCTGGCCCTTTTTGTCAGTATCGTTCAACCGACCCCCATGCCCATGCTCATCCCCTTCGAGGCCCCGACCACATTGCCACCCCAGTTGGGGATACACCGCTCGAAACTCGAAGGGAACGGCCTATATCCTCATGTAGGGGGGTAAATCGGCCAGTGGGGCCCAGGCCACGCCGCTGGGGATGGGGATCGGTTAAACGATGCTCATTTGGGAAAGAGGGGCCAGGAGCTCAAGGACGGGCTTTTCAGTCGGGCACGTCCCTCTACAGGAGGAGTTGTCAAGAATAGTAAGACACAGTCTGGGGACGGTGTTTCGACTGGGTGTGCCTATGCTTGAGCTTCTGTTGATTTTACTTTGAGTATTTTCGAGTATTCTGTCCTGCAACATCCTCCTATAGGAAAGCATGCCCGAACTAAGACGGGCTCCGTTCATTGAAAAAAAAACCTCCGAGGTCGGGTCGGGCACTGCCAGAACTCAGCCGTTCTTTGATCGTCTTGCCGTGCTTGTTCCTGGTTCTGACGCCGTTTGTGTCCTGGTTCCGTCGCGTTTTTTGTTTTGTTCCGGTTCTGGCCCGGGTGTCTTCAAGAGCACCCTTCAAGAGTTGAGTTATGAGCAGCTGCGCAGAATGAACTTTCGGAGCTTCGCGCGGACTTCCTGGATCGGCGCATGAGGGCCCAGCGCCGATCCAAGAAATCTGCACGGACCTCCGAAAAGGTTATGCTCAAGGGCCACCTGGGGTCAGCGTCCCAGCTTGACGCAGCGCCCCGGCAGGGGACCTGGACCCCCGACGCCGTGATTCTGCCACAGCCGGGACGCGCGGAGGTGTCGACCCGTTCCTTGCGACCAGCTTGTCATCCTGAGTCGTTTTTCACGGTTCTGGGGCCTCGCGAGGCCCCCAGACTCGGGCGTTGCGCGTTGCGCGACGGGGGGAAGGAAGAAAGGTGCACTGTGTGTCCCACACCGGGGCACGAAAGGTGCACAATTCTCCTTCCCATCCATCACCCCCCCAATAAGCAACCCCCGTCACAGATGCCGAACATCTGGCGCGCCGCTGTTTTTTCATCCACCGAGGGGGGTCTGCGGAGAGCGTCCTACGGGGCGGCCTGTCGCAATCCAGGTCCACTGCCCAGACGCGCCCCTTAGGGCGTGGAGGCGTGTCGAGGCACCCAACGCCCAGCATCGTCGGAGGCCGTTTACCCGACCCCAATCCCCACCCTCATCCCCCTCGAGACCCCTACCAAATTGCCACCCCAGTTGGGGATACCCCCCCCGAAACCCGAATGGAACGGCCTATCTCCCCATCCAGGGGGGGGCAAATCGGCTAGCAAGGCCCAGGCCACGCCGCTGGGGATGGAGGTCGGAGGAGCGAGGCTCACCAGCGTCGTGGCCGATCAAGCCCAGGCGTCCTCCTCGTCGTCGTCGTCCTCCTCCTCTTCCCCTCTGCACTGCGGCGTCGCCGCCTCGCCCGCGCGCGCCCTCGCGAGCGAGGCTGGGCACGGCCACCCGAGGCTCGTGTTTTCCCGTCGGCTCGGGGGCAACGATAGGGGGCGATGGGCATAGGGGGCGGCACGCATCGACCCTCAATCGCCCATGGATCGCCGATAGGGGCCCGATAGCCCCAACCTGCCCAGGAAGGTGCGGTGTACCGCCGATTCCAGGTCGATGCTTCCCACCCTATCCCTATCCCCCCCCTTCTCGTTTCCCCTCATCGGTCTAGGTCGGCGGCTGCGGCTCGCAGGCGGGAGTGGGTTTCAGCGAGGACGATTTCGGGGGCGTTCGGCGTGACATGCTTAACGCGCTGAGCAGGTCATGACCGAGGTGGGCCGCCGTTCTCGGCCTTTGCGGGGGGGGGCCCTCACCAAGCCCTGGGAGCGTACACCACGATGCGGGGTGGGAGGGCCAGCCCCGGGGAAAGGGTCAGGACTCCTGTGGAGCCCGTACCCAGATCGTTGGGTACTATCTATTTTTGTTTGGGAAATCGGTAGCGACCGATCGGCACTCCACCTCGTTCGCAACCGATCGCGACCGATGCCGAAATCTGAAGCAAAATCGGTAGCCACCGATCTCGTCGGTCTTGATTTGAAGATGCCTGGGAGGGCCGAAGCACCCTCGAGGCGGCCCCAGCGCTGTGGCGGGCAGCCAACTGGCCAGCGCGAGCAGCAGGAGAGCGAGACGACCGACCGAGAGGTGATTACCCCCCGCGACTCTTCATTCTCTTCATCCTCCCCTTCCCTGTCCCGTCGTGCGCTTGCCCCCGTCTTCGCTCTGGACGGAGGAGCTGTCCCCACTCGTTGTGCAGTGCGCTGCCCGGCCCACTGCTGGAAGCCGGCTGCCACGGCCGACTACCCAGTCGGAGCCCCTGCGCCCCAGCCGCTATGAGAGCGCGGGTCGGGTCCTGGGGTTGTTCGGGGACGCCCCGTCATGTCGAGAAGGCTGCGAGTCTCCAGGCCCCGCTGCTTCGGCAGCCACGTTCACGTCCTGTGCTGCGTCATCGCCGATTGTCCCCGTTTTTGAGCCATCCGTAGCCGTTCTGGCTCCGAATACATTTGTCTTGCGCCTTCTTCACGGTGCCGAACAGGGAGCATGCAGCGTTCTGTCTGGACGCTTGGAGTCATGCCACGTGATGATGTCTGGGGCGAGGCCGCGGACGAGGAGAGCCTACTTGAACCCAGGAGACAGAACTTTCGAGGGCGTACGTTCAGACCCCCGATCTCGATGATGTTCGTCGCTCTGTTTCTAGTGGTGGCCTCTGTAACTGTCATGAGGATTTGCCTCGGAGGGCACCGCCATGTGCACATTGATGCTATCATCGTCAAGGCTGCGGCAAGCTCAAGCCAGACATGTGAGGGCTACGATGCAACTGCAGGTTGCGACTGGACTCTGGAGTGGAGTTGCCCCGGACAGAGGCGAGGGACCTCTGGAGTTGCTGGGGAGGAGGACGCTGACTCTCTGGGATACAAGTGTTGCTGCGGGGCAGAATTGTGGAGACAGATGCCAACCAATTCTTCAAGCACTTCAAACGTTCGCTTGTTCTGCTTCAGTCTGATGTGGACCTCTGGTGACGAACCTGATTTGCTGAAGTTCCAAGTTGAGCATGGAGCAAGTATCTTCGCATGCGATTTCACGTCCGTTTACAATGGTGGGTCTGACAGCGTTGACTTAGGCAAGGGCCCAAATGGTCAAGTGATGACGAAGTGTATTTCCGACATGCCCCTGCCCCATGAGAAGGGAACGTACGGTGCAGTCGTGGATGGAATCACACAGACCACCAGTTCTTGGCTGAGTGTTCCCACTTGGCTCCGGATCTGGGAAGAGGTTCGTGACGAAGGTTTTTACAAACAAGCTGATTGGACTGTCAAGGTTGATCCCGACGCTGTATTTCTTCCCGAGCGTCTTCGTCAGCACTTGCTGCCATATAGCTCTGCAAAGCCCCTGTACATTCATAATCAGAATTGCTTTGCCGATGAATTTCACTTTTCTGGTTCATTAGAAGCCCTGTCCCGTGGCGCGATGGACACTTACATGGACGGTTACCCACGGTGCAAGGACGAATTGCCGTGGCAAGGCTGGAGCGAAGATTACTACATGGAGTACTGCTTGGACCTCCTGCAGGTCAACCACGAGGACGATTTCGAAGTGTTGAGCGATCAGTTTGGCTGTAGGTTCAGTGCCCCGGGCTGCACTGAGGACAACTGGGCAGCCTTCCACCCCTTCAAAGATGTGAAGACGTACTCCGAGTGCTACGCGAATGCGATGCAGGCAGCGGGCGCGGCGCCCGCGACGGCTGCGCCGGCACAGCCGCCTCAGCAGGCGCTCACGGCGGCGGCCTCCGCGGAACCGCCGCCGAGCGCACCGCCGCCGCCGAAGCCGGCAGCGGCGCAGGAGGCGTCTCCACCGCCCGAGGGGCTGCCCGAGGGGCCTTCCCCGCAGTCAGCGGGTGAGCAGCCTCCACCGCCTGTGGCCGAGGCGGCGGGCGAAGACGCCGCGGTGGTCCCCGAGCAGGCGGTGCAGGGCTTCAAGCAGCCGCCCGCTGCGGCTGCTGAAGATGCGGGGGTGGTCCCTGATCAGGCGGTGCAAGCCTTCCAGCAGCCGCCCGAGGCGGCGGACGGAGACGCCGCGGTGGTCCCAGAGCAGGCGGTGCAAGGCTTCAAGCAGCCACCAGCTGCGGCAGGGGAAGATGCGGGGGTGGTCCCCGATCAGGCGGTGCAAGCCTTCCAGCAGCCGCCCGAGGCGGCGGACGGAGACGCCGCGGTGGTCCCAGAGCAGGCGGTGCAAGGCTTCAAGCAGCCACCGGCTGCGGCAGGGGAAGATGCGGGGGTGGTCCCCGATCAGGCGGTGCAAGCCTTCCAGCAGCCGCCCGAGGCGGCGGGCGAAGACGCCGCGGTTGTCCCAGAGCAGGCAGTGCAAGCCTTCAAGCAGCCGCCCTCTGCGGCAGGCGAAGATGCGGGGGTGGTTCTTGATCAGGCGGTGCAAGCTTTCCAGCAGCCGGTCGTGGCGGCAGACGAAGACGCCGCGGTGGTCCCAGAGCAGGCGGTGCAAGGCTTCAAGCAGCCAGGGCTTCCCGAGGACCCCCAGGGCGCTGGGGGTGCCGAGGCGGCGGGCGAAGACGCCGCGGTGGTCCCCGAGCAGGCGGTGCAGGGCTTCAAGCAGCCTGTCGTGGCGGCAGGCGGAGACGCGGGGGGGGTCCCTGGGCAGGCGTCGCCGCCCGAGGCTGATCCGGTGGACCCGACGACCCTAGCGGCGGACGCGGCTTTGCCTGGTTGATCACCCACTGACGTGGCTGACCCGGCGGGCGCCGGCCGGATTTGCAGAAGTTTTGCAGTGTTGTGGCGGGTCGCGGGCAGCTGTCCAGAATCTCGAATGATTACCGAGGGTCGGCGTGAGCGTTCGCTTGCGACAGTCGGACTCCGGCAGCCGAGAGTGCAAAGTGCACAGTCTCAGCACCTGGGAGGCACGTCTCGGGCCCCAGTGTTGCTCGCCAAGCTGGGCCGCGCGCGCTCTTTGCAGGCCTTTTCGAGGGGGGCTATCTGGTTGCCCTTCCATACTCCATGTCTGGTCCATCTCCATGGGCCGCGGCGCCAGTGGGCAAAGATTCTCACGGTGGCCCCGCTGGCCCATTTTTGTGGTGCAGAAGTGTGTGGGGGGTCATTTGTTTTGGTGTCGGCAGGCCCGCTGTCTCTCGCTCCCCTTGCCGACCCTCCCCCACCGCCCTGGCCGCCACGTGCGAGCGGCATCTGGAATACAGTTGCAATCCTCCCTGGTTACTGGAAGTCTTTAGCCTTCTGCCTACTCGCTTTCTTGCTACACAGCGTTGCGTGAGCCTGTGGGTCTGTGCACGCTGCTGCAGTGCACCTCAACTTTGCATGAGTCGGCGGAGGCTGGGAGGCGGGCTGGCGGGCACGCCGCCACGACGCGTGGAGCGCGCACTCTGCAGGCCACGGCCTTGTCGCTGCTCATTCTCTCTGTAAAGGTAGCGCTTGGTGCTGCTCGACCAAGGGATAGCTGCACAAGCAGGAATTGTTGGCGCTCCGCGCGGGGTCCTTGTGGATCGGCGCGGCCCCCCCCCCCCCCTGGCAACGCCTCCTGCACCGCCCCGGGCACGCTTCGCGCGCCAGGGAGGACGGCCTAGCGCCGATCCAGGAGTTCCGCGCGGAGCTCCGAAAGTGCATCCTTCCTATAGTCTAATCGCTTTGTGCAGGTAGTGCTTCCGTTCGTTTTCCCATTTGCCACCAGCGAGGCCAGGCGAACTGGCAGAGAGTCAGGTGATGCTGCCAGTGAGGGCAAGCACAGGGACTCGACAACACGAGCACAATCTCCGCTCTGGTGTTAGCAGGGCATCGAACCTCCACGGGTGGCGGACGAGGGAGGAGGAGGCCGCGGGGCAGAAGAGTGCAGGAGGCGTGGCGGCAGAAGCGAACGAGCCGTGCGGAGGAGGAGGAGGGAGGAGAGAGGGAGGCAGAGCAGAGCGGGAGGAGCGGGGGGAGCAGGCAGGAGACGAGGAGGACCAGGAGGAGGAGGAAGAGGAGGAGGAGGAGGAGGAGGAGAGGAGCAGGAAGGTCAAGGGACAAGGTGGAGGATAAGGAGAAGGTGGAGTAGGAGGAGAAGGCGAAGGTGGACGACGACAAGAAGGAAGAGGAGAAGGAGGGCGAGGATCAAGAAACACCAGAGGAGTAATGAGAAGGAGAAGACAGTACGACTCTACAAAGAGTGCACTTGGTCAAAATCATGTCTACCCCTGCGTGGAACGTCACAGGTCATGTCCCTGAACCAATATGAATTCGTCAGCAGCATAACGTGGAGCAGCGTGGCGGATGCCAGGAACCCAACAAGGTCTCGCGCGGAAACATTCAGTTCCACGATCCCGAGACATTGGACGAGTCGAGACCAGCACGACGGACACCACTAGCATTGCTTTGAGCAGCGCCACGTTTGTGGCCTTCGGTTGCGAGCACCACGACGGGTGCCAGCAGTACGACTATGAGTAGAACGACATGTACAAGCAGCACGATGCTAAGCAGCCCGACGAGCATCAGACACACGACACTGTGCAACGCGACGGGTGCAACCAGCATGACGTTGAACAGCTCGACTAGTGCCGTGAGTCCAACGCTCAGGAGCACGACGGCATTACGTTACGTGCATCGTTCGTTTCACAGCATGCAGCACGACGGTACGACCACGACGTTGAGCAGCACAACGTGCACCAGCAGCACACCATCGAGCGGCGCGACGGCTTGCACCCCACCGGCACTGGTGCCAGCGTGTGAGTGGCATGCTGGGCACCACCAGTGCCGACGACATCTCGCTGAGCAAAGCGACGTTTGGCACCAGAAGCGTGACGTGGAGTAGCAGCTCGGTGATTCTGGCATCCGCTTGAAAGTAGCACACCAGGTACCAGCAGCACAGCTTTGACTGCCACTACATCTAACACCTGCGTGAAGTAGCACCAATCCCACATGGACCACCCCGACCATACGCCACCCCCCACTCCACCGCGGGTCGCGAATTAGTTCCGAGTCGGAGGGAGACCTTGCTCACCGTATCCACCACTACACACGAGCAATAACGACCGCGACCAATAACACTACTACCTCCAGCGTTACCAACAGCACGACCATTCTGACGTCCTTCTCGGAGTGGCCCGATATGCTCCACCAGCAAGTCGCTGAGCAACATGTCGCTGAGCAGCACGACGGATCACCTCAGCACGTCGATGCGCAGCCGATCGGGTCCAGTACTGTGCTTTTAGTCCCCGCAGCACCGCTGTACACACGACGGCGGTACGACCAGATTTCTGAGCCGGCTCACACCAGCCCAATGCGCAGCACGACCTCTCCTCCCACTTCCAGGGCACCAGCCAACACACGCACCAGGACCACTACAGCGGCCCCCACTCCCGCGGGGACGTCCGCGGGCGCGAATCTGAAAACGCGAGTGGCACGAGCGTGCCGACGAGCACCGCGTCACTGAACAGCAGCATGTCTCGGACATCCACGTCTGTCACATGCAGAGCGAGTGGCGCCACGACACCGGGAGACACCTCGATGTTCAGTACCACGACGCCAGAGGGCATCACGACTATGACATCCAAGCGTGGCACGAGCTCTGTGTGAGACGGGCATCGCATCCGTCAGACCGTCACCGCGACGCTGGACAGTGCCATGAAATTGTAATCCACGTGTGGCATGCGCAGTGCGAGGAGCACCACGTCATTGGACACGACACCGATTCTGCCATCCACCAGTGTTACGAGCGTTCCGACGAGTGCCACGTCCTCGACACGTCGAGGACATTCACGCGCGATGCGAGCAGTGCGACGTCCTCCACGTCCTCCAGCGCAGCAGCTCGACGATGGCATCCACGAGAGAGATGGCCAGAGTGTCGAGCACCACGCCCCTGAGCAGCATCGCGGCTCTGACATCCACGAGTGGCGCGAGCAGCGTGATGCGCGCAACGTCCCCGAGAAGCTTCACGACAAAGATTCCCAAGAGTGGGACCGACGGCTCGGCGACGTCTGCGCCCCTGGAAAACAAAAACCTCGGGTGCACGCCCCTCTGGGACCAGCACCGCGGCGCCAGACAGCATCATGACACGGACGAGTGGCACGAACAGCACGACGACGAGGACCGCGCCACTCAGCAGCAAGATGCGGGCAGTGCAACGAGAGCCATGCCACTGAGCAGCACCCGGCGGTCCCGCACCATGGCGCCGCAGAGGCGAGCACCACGCCCCGGAAGCAGCCTTCCGGGCCCTGGGCATCCGCAGGCGAGGCGGGCAGCTCGACGGGCGCCGGGGGTGCGCGGCGCCTCAGCCGACTCTCGCAGTTCCCACATCTGTCCCCCCTCCTCCACCTCCTCCACCTCGTCGTCGTCCTCCTCCTCCTCCTCCCCCTCCTTCTCCTCCTCCTCCACCTCGTCGTCGTCCTCCTCCTCCTCCATCCCCTCCTTCTCCTCCTCCACCTCGTCGTCCTCCTCCTCCTCCTGCTCCTCCTCATCCTGGGCCAGCACCTCGGAGCGACGCCAGTCGGCCCTGCGGCGGCGAGCTGCACCGCGGTGCACGCCACGGCGGAGTGGAGCAGCGCGCGGGGGGGACCACAGCACCACGGCGCCAAGCAGCACAACGGGGGGCTGGCCACTCAGGGTCCGTCCCGGACGAGTAAGCCGATCCCATGTGGCTCCAAGCGGGAGGGAGGAAGGTGTATCATCGGAAACTGGAACATACACATTACCAGTGGCGGGCTGTTTTTCAATCCCAGGACCTTTTGAGGTTCGGGGACGACGTCGGTGTCGTGTGGCGTATACTGATTTCCTCATTTTCCAGGGGAGGCGATGACAAATGTATACACTGGGATCCCGTATACACCAGGATCCGTTTTCTTGTGCGAGTTTCGGTGCGGAGCCGGAGAAAGCTTCGTTGTACAGAGTTCGGTTGCCTGTGTCAATGACACGCTGCCATTGGCAGCCCGTCAGCGTGTTGTACTCCTTCTGTTTGTTTGTCCGAAGGCCCGATGCTCCTCGAACAGCAGCGCGCGGACGGGTTTCCCGATGCCGACTGGTCCTGCCACTGCGGTCCACCCCGGCGCCCGCAGTCGCAGCCGCCTGGCAGGCCCAGCGCCGAGCAGACGCTTGGCTGCGCATCGTGCCCCCTCAGCCGGCGGTGGCCGCGGCCATGGCCTCGCCCGAAGATTAGACAGTGTCATGTGTGCACGCCGCACTGCTCGTCCACGAGTGCGACGTGCAGTTCACCACCGCAGCGGGCAACGCGACGGAGTCCAGCGGCACGACGTGGAGCGGCACGGCGACGACGTCGGAGTGCAGTTCGAGCATGAGCAGCTCCTCACGCAGCAGCACCCGCAAGGCAAGCATCCCACCTCGGCGGCTACATTCGCCGCTGCCGCTGCCGCCTGCGCAGCCCGAGGACGGCTAGGGCGTTGAGAAGTGCCCTTCTAGGTGAAGCGTCTGCCCTGAGCTGTCTGAGAGTTTGCACTGTGCAGGGGCGGTGTCAGTCCTGCATCTGCTGTGTTGCTGTAGTTTGAGTCCGCCAGCAGGCTCCTGGCAGGAACTGCCCTCGGGATCCGCAGCGGCACGGCACGACGCGGAGTAGCACGACAGGTCTCAGATCACCGGCCCTTGTCTTCCCCACCCGTGACCAAGAATGACGAGCTCCGCGCGCTTCCCAGTCTGATGCAGGCACTCCGCGGCGAGGCTCTGTACGTGCGTTGCCTTCTCGTCCTCTTCTTCCTTCCCGTCCTTACGGGAGACTTGCCGTTCAAGCTTGGTTCGTGGGCGCTTTATTCGGTGTTACTCACAGGCAGTCCTTTGTTTGCGCTCTGCTCCTGGATTCTCGGCTGCAATGGAGTCGAGCTTCTTCCTGTTTTGCATGTGGCTTGTGTTTGAAATAGCTCTTTCGCTGGTGCGGATTGCCCCGCCTCGCCGCCGACGAAAAAAATGTGTGGAGTTGCTGTCCGCCTAGGCCAAGGGAAGGGCAGTGGCGCAGGTGCCCATGCTTCTCTCGCTCCTCTACGCGCGCGACCAGGCTTCGTTGGGACCCATTCATGTTGGCCGCCAGTTTCCCGTCCTTCTACTCGTCATCCCCCTCCGAGCCTGAACGATACTTGGGTGGTTTCGTGCCGCCTTTGCTTCGTACCTGCATTCATGGCCGCGTGAATTTCGATGTGGCTTTTCTTTTTAGGCAACCATACTGCCCGCCTATCCCCTCTCCTACCCCCCTCACTTCCCTTGCTGGGGCAGGTCTTTCTGTGAGTTGACCTGCGGGACATCTGGTCTCGCTCGCAGCATGCCACCCCCCGTCTCCCCCTCTTCCCCAGTTGTGCATGTGGCCACGGAAAAGTTAAACTTACAAGCTGCTCTGCGGCCTGCGTCGGTGCTCTCTTGGGGATGGGGAGCAGCAGTGCGCACAGGAATCCCGAATGTCTGCAGTTAAAGCTGACGCCATGAAGGTACACACAGTGAGCGAGTCTCAAAGTTGTATGTACCGTTGTGCACACAGCCGTTGTACAAAGCGATGCGCTTGCACAACTAGTGGTCAGCATGTCAGGGCAAATGCGCAGCCACATCTTCGGAAGCGTGCTGTGATTCAGTATTCATTTCTCGAAGCTCACTGCGCCTCTTTCCACGCTGCTTCGCCTGGCTACTCGCCAGTCTCCTCTCCCGTCCCGGGAGGCCGTCAGGATCGTTGCGGACTACACGCCGGCCCAGGCAGGGATTGCCCGCGACCCAATGTCATCGCAAGACGTGGCATCCGAATGTCTATCAAGTAATATGGTAGAAGCTTGTGGTCTGGGCTTGTGTTCTGGCAGAGGCTTCAGCGCCTCAGGAATTGTTAGAATGTGGCGCGGGAGCTCTAAGCCGATACTACGTGTAGTACCTGTTGTTCGCCAAGGTGCTTCTTGGCTGCCCGATTGGAGAGCGTCCAGCAAATAACGTCAGGCTTCCGAAGGGGCATGGACAAGACCAGGCAGAGCGAGGGTTGGAAGGGACAAGGCTTACGAGTAGAAGAGCGCGCAGCAGCGCGCCCTGCCAAGGAAGTCGTAGTTACTCCATCGCGACGCGTGTCCCACTCCCGCCCATAACATATAGGAACGCTCGTCAGCACGACTGGACATCTGAAATTGTACAGCGTGTCTGCTCCTTCTCAGCATCTGCACGCGGATCTGGCAGCAGATCGTGGGAGCCTCGCCTGCCCTCGCAATGCCGCCTCCAGAGCGCACTGGCGTCGACAAGCGTCGACTCGCACCGAGTCGGCGCCGACTGGCGCCGAGCAGCCCCGGCAGAAGCGTCGACGAGCGCCGATTGGCCTGGGCCAGCGTCGATTCGCGAGAGCCGGCGAGCTGGTGCGGGTGGCCCCCCATGAGCTGCCGCAGAGCGCGGAGCGAACGCGACGAGAGCGGCGCGGCTGCCCCAGCAGGAAGACAACACGGCCACCTCGAGCGGGTCGCAATCCGCCGCGCTGCCGCGCGCTTCCGCCACCGCGCCCGGGCGGGCGCGGGCGGGGGGGCCTCCGAGGGGGAGCATGGGGGGAGAGTCCACGAAACCCCCTTTCCGCCAAGTTTTCTGTGTATTTGGGACCATGCTCTCTCAGGACCTTTTGATCATTGGATGCTGGGATTCTCCAGTCTCGACCAGCGGGATCGGTCGCTACCGATTCTGCTTCACAATTCAGTAGCGGTCGCGACCGGCTTGCTTCAAAATCGGCCGCGACCGATTTCGGGGTCGGTCGCCATCGGTCGCGACCGAGTTGGGGTGCCGATCGGTCGCTACCGATCGCGACCGAAAACGGTCGGCATCCCATGGCCTGGGGATCCCCAGAGTTTTCTTGTAGGTGGTGCCGTGTCCTCTCGGGAAGGCCCCAAACGCACGGACATGGTCAGGAGAATGAGCGCATCTTGGGCTCGATGCGCCCTGAGGGGGGGGCTGAACGAGAAAGTGCTCGATAGCACGGCCGCCACGAGCAGTCAGCACGTTTGCCGAGGACGCTTGCGGTCGAGTCGCCGCCGCCTCTTGTCCCTTCTCTGGAAACCGCCTAATTATCGAAGACGCCTACGGCGAATCACCGCCGCCCCCTGCCTTGTTGGAAGCGCCTATGTGGCCGAACGTTGAGGCCAGACCTGCCAAGCTGTCGGACCATGTGTTCCCCGAGTCGGTTTGGAAAGCCTTCGGGGAACACGTGGGCATCTTGAAGGTCATCTTGGCCGCCTGGAGGCCATATTGACCCTTTCGGGCCTTTTTGGAGGACGTCTTGGAGGGCTCTTGGGCCGTCTTGGAGGCCATCTTGAGCGTCTTGGAGGCCTCTTGGGCCGTCTTGGGGGCCTCTTGGGGCCGTCTTGGGCCCTTTGAGCGATCTTTGGGGGCTCTTGGGCCGTCTCGGGTCGTCGGAAGGCCGAACAAAAGCAAACGCCTCCAATCCTTCAAAGGCTCATGGGAAATCAATGATTTTGGCCTTTCCGAACCTTCCTGGAGGCCCTCTTGGAGGCCTCTTGGGGCGTCTTGGGCCATCTTAGTGCCATCTTCGGCCGCCTTGGTGGGCCCCTGGCCTGTTCGACGCCGTCAGAAGCTGTTTGGGGGGCCTCTCTAAGCCGACTTGGGGCCCTTTTGGAATGCTCCAGGGCCGTCTTAGAGGCCATCTTGGGCGTCTTAAAAGCATTCTGGACCGTCTTGGGTGCCTCTTGGGGCCGTCTTGGGGGCTTTTCGGGCCGTTCTGGGGCCATCTTGGAGGCCTCGTGGGCGATGTTTCGGCGATCTTTGGGGGCTCTTGGGCCGTCTTGGGCCGTCGGAAGGCCGAAACGACGCACATGTCAACATCCTTCGAACACTCGTGCCTTTTCTGGCCTTCCTGGAGGCCCTCTTGGAGGCCTCTTGGGCCGTCTTGGGCCAGCTTCGAGCCAACTTCGGCCATCTTGGTGGGCTCTTGGCCCGTCTGACGCCGTCGGAAGCCGTTTGGGGGGCCTTTCTGGGCCGACTTCGGGCCCTCTTGGGGTGCTCCAGGGCCGTCTTAGAGGCCATCTTGGGCGTCTTGGAGGCCTCTTGGGCCGTCTTGGGGCCCTCTTGGAGCCGTTTTGGGGGCCCTTTGGGCAGTCCTCAGGCCATCTTGGAGGCCTCTTGGGCGCTGAGGGGGCGATCTTGGGGCCTCTTGGGCCATATTGGGTCGTCGGCAAGACGAGAAGAAGCGAATGTCAACATCCTTCAACAACCAAAGGGCAATCAAAGATTTTGGCCTCTTCGGGCTTTTCTGGAGGACCTCTTGGAGGCCTTTTGGGCCGTCTTGGAGACCTCTGGGGGGCCTGTTGGGCCGTCTTGGGCCGTCTTGGACTCTCTTGGGCCGTCTGGGAGGCCGTCTTGGACCATCTTGGGCGGACTTGGAGGCCATCTTGGACCATCATGGAGGTCATCTTGGGCCAACGTGGCCATCTTGGAGGCCATTGTGGGCCATCTTGAGCGAAACATTTGGGAATTGTGCTCCTTTCTGGGTGGCCGGCGGGACGGGCCGAAGCCCCAGGGTGAGTTCTTTGGGGAAAAACAAAACCAAAACCGAAATCGTCTAGCACGCCAGGCACCCCTGTGATGAATCGACAGTGGGCGGCGGATCAAAAACGCTTACGGCGAATCGCCGCCGCCCCCTGCCCCTTTGGAAGCGCCTCTGTGGCCGACAGCTGGGCCAAGCTATCGGGCCAGGTGTTCCCCGAGTCCGTTTGGAAAGGCTTCGGGGAACGCGTGGGGGAGCAAGAAGAGAAGGAGGGGGAGGATAAGGCAAAAAGAGGAGGAGGATGAGGAGGAGGAGGCCTCTTGGGCGTCTCTTGGGGCACTCTTGGGGCACCCTTTGGAGCCGAGGGCTCGAAGTGTCCATTCGGGTTCCCCATCTGGGCCCCCTCTTGGAGCTGTCTTTGGGCCCCCTTGGGCCGTCTTGGGCGCCTCTTGGGCTGTCTTTACGCCGAGGACGCCTACGGTCGGGTCGACGCTGCCGACTGCACCTTTCTGGAAACCGGCCAGATACTCGGTCAAGCGTTGGGCCAAAGCCTGGCCGGGCTGCGTGAGAGGCGACGTTCCAGAACGAGCCTCGCCTTCGAGCACCAGAGGAGCTGCCGCCTCTTCCTCGGCGGAGGGCGGCGGAAGCGCGGCGTGAGGCGGCGGAAGTGAATCCCTGACCCCCTCGCGCAGTGGCAGCATCGCGGCGGTAGGTTTTTCGCTCATTTCAGCCTCTGGGGGCCCCTACCGGGCCTCGGGACCGTCAATCAAATCACTCGGGCCTCTGGGAGGGCCCTACAGGCGGCCGGGATTAGGAGGTCGATCCTGCCAAATCGAGGGTACCCGGTACCCTCGTGTCCTGTGTCTTGCGACCCATGCCTCCTGCAGTTCTGTGGCAACGTGGCCCTCGGAAGAATCTTGTGGCCTCTCGCGTGTCCTCTCCAATCAAGTCCGACTCTACCGGGCCTCGGGACCGGTCCGGCGGGATATCAATGCCTTTGGGGGTCGAGGTTGTGAACAAAACATGGCGTCCGGGGTCTGGGAACGGGGGTGGCCCCACCGGCGGAAGCCAGCAGAATAACAATTCCCCCCCAAGAGGTTGTAAGGTTTTTTGTTTCAGTGTGGTACCATTTCGGACAGAAGGAGGGGTGAAGGAGGAGGAGGAGGAGGAGGAGGAGCAGGAGCAGGAGCAGGAGGATGAGGAGGCGCAGGAGGAGATGGAGGAGGAGGAGGAGGAGGAGGAGGAGGAGGAGGAGGAGGAGGAGGAGGAGGAGGAGGAGGAGGAGGAGGAGGAGGAGGAGGGAGGAGGAGGAGGACTAGGAGCAGGCAGACGAGGAGGTAGGCTCTTGTGGGTCTCCTCGGGGTCTCTTGGGGCGGCCTCTTAGGTCGGCCTTTTGGGGCCATCTGGAGCCGTCTGGGAGCCATGTTGGGCCACCGGGGGGCCTCTTTGCTGTCTGGTGTCTTGGAGGCCATGTAGAGCCATCTTGACCAGCTTTGGGACTACAGAGGAGATGTTCCACAATCTCGAGGGCGGTCCGGATGGCCTCGGAGGGACGCCAGCCATACACCACCTCCAGCCCTGGCCAGGTCCATTCTGGGCCCTGGTCTGGCGCATAGACCTCCAGGCCTTGGCCAAGAGGGCCTGTACACCAGTCCAGGGCCCAGGATGGGCCTGGCCAGGGCCAGTGGTGGTGTATTGTTTAGAGCTCTCCTACGGCCGGCGGCTTCGGCCGAAGGCCATCGAGGGCCTTTGGAAGAGCCATGCTGGAGGAGAGTTGGCACGCCAGCACTCCTCCAGCAGGCTCCGGGGGCGGCGGATCCAGTTGGGGTCTCTCGGAATCCCTCTCGGAAGCCTTTTGGGGGGCCTCGTGGGGGACCTCCCCTTCGGGCGCCTTTCGGGGGCCTGGAGACAATGTCGGGGGTGATCCTTGGGTGGAGGGCCCCCGAAGGCCGCTTCAAGCTCCCCCCATTCGGGGCTTCTTGGGCCCCTCTTTGCGATTTTGGACGTCCAGCAGTCGGAGAAGGGGCGTATGCAAAAAATCGTTCAAACAGCTATGTGCTCCAAAAGTCTGGGCCTCTTGGGCCAGCGCCCGGGGGCCCCCCTTGGCGCCATACAGTGGAGGCCCATGCCAAGAAACACCCTGCTTGCCTCCAGGGTGCCCTGAGTTTCTGGGGTTTCGATGGCTTCGCTGTGGAAAGTGTGACGTTCCAACACCAGAAACAGTAGACGTCCTGGGGTCTCAGGGTTGGGTTTCTTGTGGCAGCTTTTTCTTCCGGTCGGGCTCCTGCTGTAAGGGCGCTCCACTCGGTGCCTACGGTATGGTGGTGTCTAGGGCCAGAGAGAGGTCAGCGCGGCGTCCTCCTCGCGTGGAAGTCCTCGCGCTGCACGCTTGCACGCCGGAGACACCGCAGAGGCGGGGTTGCCCCGGCCTTCGAGAAGGGATGTGGTGGAGCGCGCCGCGCTCCCGCAGCTCAAACGCCCCGCAGCCGACCGCTGCTCCCCGGCCCTCCCCCCCGCGCGCGCACGAGCCCTGCGCCACGATGGCCGGCGCCCGCCGCCACCCGCGCCAGCGAGTTGCAGGCGCGCCGCGGGAGGGAGTCCCCATGGCCCTCCCCCCCTGGCCGCGCACGTGCTTCGGGCCATAGGTTGCGAGCCCCCTTCTTTGACCCCCCCGTCTTGGTCGCCCCCGATCGCGCGGCCAGGAGTGCCCCAGGGGCTCCAACATCTGCTCTCTTTGTTCTAAGTGTTCTTATTCCGTTTCCTGTTCGTCTTCTGATTATGATTCTTTGTCGTCCTTCTCCTCATGCGCATCTTGGCCTGCCGCCTCCCCTGCCGCCTCCTAATGGTCTTCGTCCTCCTCGTGCTCCTCCTCCTCCTCCTCCTCCTCCTTGGGCTCCCTCGACCACGCGGGGGAGCCCGGGCCAGCGAGGGCTGCAGGGGCCCAGAAAGGCGCGAAAAGCTTAGGCATTTTCGATCCGTCGATATCGATGTTGGACCCGATGCTTGCACGGCGTTGGTGTGCATCTTGGCGCGTCCGATCCGATTCGGCTCCGACATCGATCCGATGCGGCCCGATCTGACGAGGTGCGTTCAGACCCGATCTTTGAGGGAAGCCCTGACGCCGCGACTAGGAGACCCACCCCCCAGATGCCAGAAAGAGGACTAGAAGAGCACCTAGAAAACCCGCGATCCTCAAACTTCGATGTTCGAACTGTGACCCCCGACCTCCCCTCCCTTCCCGAACTGGTCTTCGCGGTCCCTAGTCGATCCCACTCAGGCCGCTCTGACATGGCAACATTGCTCGACGACCCTCGAGCTCTCAGTTGATGCTCGATGTGATTCGGACACGATGTGTCTTCGTCCTGCTTGTCAAAGTGAGATTATCGATGCGGCGAAGCCCGAGGCCAACAACAAACACAGGAGCGCACAAAGACCCTTGGTTCTCGCCTTCCGCCCAGGTGTCGACAAACAGTTACGGTGGGGTCGTTCGTTAAGGAATGCACCGAGGAAGATCAGAGCCTGGCGGGTTCCTTATCTGACGAGGGCGGCGGTGATATCCATTGCCAACCCACGATTGGGGTTCCACGGGCTTCCAGACCTTGGATTCCTTATCCAATGGGTCCTCACCCAATGTCCTCACCGTACTAGATGGGCACACACGCACGCACGCTAACACCCCCACACAAGCACCTGGGGTGCTTTGTGGACCATCTCCCCGCCTTTCTGGCCCGAGTTGCCACGCGCCTGCAGGTTGAGGCAGTTGCCGAGGCTGCGGCTGCAGCAGAGGAGGAGAAGAAACACGGAGAAGGACAGAGGAGGAGGAGCCGGAGGAGCAGGAGGAGGAGGAGGAGGAGGAGGAGGAGGAGGAGGAGGAGGAGGAGGAGGGCGGAGGAGGACGGAGGAGGACGGAGGAGGATGGAGGAGGACGGAGGTGGACGGAGGAGGACGGAGGACGGAATAGGAGGAGGACGGAGGAGGAGCAGGGGGAACCCCGCTGGACTGTGAGCCCCTGCCGGACTGCTTGCCCTCTGGCCGGCTTGGGGCGACGCCGCGCTCAGAGCTCAGCAGCAGCGGCCGGGTGGCCCGTAGTCCGAGGCAGACCAGGAGTGCCTGGGACCAGGATACATCGTTCCAGAGCCTTCCAGAACTCTCTCAGCATCAGCAGAGCGTTCTGGATCGCGTTCGATTGGGTCAACCGCGATTGGGGCCCTCGGGATGGAGAGTCTCCGGAAAATCTCGGAGGAATCTCCATCTTGTTTTTGGGCGACCCCAACATCTTGATAAATCTCCAGGCTCTGAAACCTCCAGGGGAATATTCCGGCTTTACAAATCTTCCGGCAAGTCTCCGGACAATTTTTTGCGTGCAGAAATCTCAAGAACATATCCGGAAAGTCTTCGGCAAATCTCTGTCGTGCAGAAGTTCCAGGAACATCTCTGGCACATCTCGGCGCCGCGGCGCCCGATGCATCTGTCCCGGTCTGACGTAGAGTTCATTCCCACTGAGGGAAGTTCTCCGTTTGGGGGCAACCGTGTGAAGATTTCTCTGCGTGCCAAAGCATCACGCTCAGGACTTCAACGCCACGAGTCAACCTGACTGTTGCTGTTTGACAATCCTGAATCGTGCAAAACACCATTCGGGGGACTTCAGCACCGCGAATCTCCGGACTCGTTTGGAAAGCCACTGTTGTTACGTGAACCATGAGAAGCAGTGAAAGTCACTTGCGCGGCGCTCAGGCGAGAGCCACATTTTGAAAAAGAGCCTCCCCAAACCCGTGAAACTCTTGCAGTTGTTTAAACGATCATGCGCGGCGCTAAATAGAGAGACGCATGTTGAAAAAGAATTGCCCGCAACCCGTCAAAACCTCGCAAATGTTTGAAACGAATGTGCGCGGTATTCATGCGAGAACAACATTTTGAAAACCACCAGCCCTCAGCCTGTGAAAATCTTACCATTAATGACGCTTCGCGTGTCCCCACCAGCTGGTCTTCGAGTTCGACGGCATTTTTCTCTTCGCCATTTTTACGCTACACGTTGGCCTGGAGCTGTTTTGGGTCTCCCTCATCTGAGTCGCAGTGTAGTCCGCTCCTGCGCAGTTGGTGGTTAATTTAGGCCACTGCTAGTTTGCAATTCCCTGACGGCGCCTGGCATCCCTGCGCGCTCGCGCACCCAAAAATCCCCACCAGCCCATGCAGAAACAGTTTGCCAGGCGAGTTGAAGCGTTGTTGTGAGAGGTTCTTGGGGGTCTCTTGGAGCCCTCTTGGGGCTCGCTTGAGGTCCTCTTGGACCTCTTGGGGCCCTCTTTGGGTTCATTGGGGGCCCTCTTGGGGCCCTCTTTGGGCCTTGTTGGCGGGTGGGTCCTCAACAACTCAGGCTCCCCCATCGGAGGCTTCAGAATTGCTCCTTAAGGCCTCCGTTGGGCGCTCTTTGGGTGCTCCTGGGCGCTCTTGGGGACCCTCGCAGGCCTCTTTCGGGGCTCTCTTGGGCCGTCTTGGGGCCATCTTGAGGCTTCGGAGGCCCTCCGGAAGGGAAAATCCGAGAGCCCACAAATCGTTGATTTTTCCTAGGTTTGTGCGCCATGTTTGGTCTCTTGGGGGGGGTCCCTCGAGGGCTCGGAGGGTAGTTGAAACCAACAAACGGCCGTCTGCCTTGAGCCATAATTAGCTATCCAGAGTCATCTTGGAGGCCATCTTGGGCTCTGGGCCCTCTTGGGGCATCTTGGGCGCTCTAATGCCTCGCCCCCCCCTTCCCAGGCCCACGGGAGGTGTGCGGGGAGGGGTAACCGCCTCCCCCGAGCAGGAGAAGGAGGGGCTGTGGAACAACAGAAGACAACACTCGTTAAACCATCTACGCTCAGAGGGCTGGTGGTTTTTGTACGTCGAATGTACGCGGCGCAAAAACGAAAGCCGCATTTGAAAACCGCCCGCCCTCAATCCGCGATTTCTCCGCAAATTGTTTAGACGAGTGTGCGCGGCTTCGGGGTTAATCATGGAGGAGGAGGGCCTTGAGATCCGACGGAGCGAACAGATTCTTTGTGGCACCGTGAGACATCTGGACCAGAGCCCTTGACCACACCTCTCTGCGGCATGTTCCGAGCTGGATTGGTACAGTATGTGGGGGCCCTCGGTCCGAAGCTGGACCAAATCGCCCGATTCGAACAAATTAAACGCCAGGAGCTCAGGGGACAGACGACGGAAACCATCTACGCTTTTTAACCAGGCCCGACCAGATGGGGTCGAGGGATTGCGCCGCATCGCCGATGCATCGATGATGCGGCTCGACTTGGAGCCCGTGTTTCGCCACGCCGATGTCGCCGATGCATCGCCGACGTCGCCGATACGGTGGTGATGCGGCGCCATAGACTCAGGGGACGGGCGGAGGAAACCAGCAGGCGCGGACATTCACCACCCACCAAACCACCCCAACCCAACCCGAAGGCTTCACTTTGCCCTCCGTTTCCGATGGCGGGGGGGTCGGGGAACATGGTAAAAACACGTGGAACCCGCACCCCCCCCCCAACCCGAAATTCGGACCAAATTCGGGTCTTCGGGCTGGGTTGGGGTGGTCTGGTAGGGACAGCCGGCCCTGATTGGTAGGCCGGCCCTGCCAGATCAAGGGTACCCTTGTGTCCTGTGTCGGGCGACCCATGCCTTCTACGTTCCCACGGCCACGTGGCCCTCAGAAAAGGGTCTTGCGTCCTCTCGCGCGTCCTCTGCAATCAAACCCGACAGTAGTCAGACATGCTGGCAGGCGCCGCCGTGGCGCTGGCGCTTCTGCACCTGCTGGCCCCGCTCCTCGGCGCCTTCGCCACGCCGCCTCGAGCCGGCGCGGGCGGCAGCGCGCTTCGGGCGGGGGCGAAGGCGCCTCCGCGGGTGCCCTCCCTCGGGGGGGGAGGAGGGGGAGGGA